TACTAGTAACGACTAGCTGAGTACTAACGTCGAGTTACTAGCGGTGACTATGGTCAGCCAACGTCAGACGATTGCTGGGTACTAGCCGGGTACTAGCGGTGAGTCATCCGCGGTGACCGTAGACCCGCGCGTACGATGCTAGCCGGGTACTAGCGATGAGTCATCCGCGGTGACCGTAGACCCGCGCGTACGACGCTAGCCGGGTACTAGCGATGAGTCATCTGCGGTGACCGTAGACCCGCGCGTACGACGCTAGCCGGGTACTAGCGGTGAGTCATCCGCGGTGACCCGTGCGTCCTACGCTAGCTGGACACTAGCGGTGAGTCACCAGCGGCTCGCCAAGCATTTGACGCTCATCAGATACTGCAAATGAGCCTACCAAAGTCAGATGCACTGTCTCCACAAAGTATTCAAAATTTTCACTATGCTTAAACTGAATTCCGACAAAATCTCTAGGCGTTCCTCGTCTCTATATCATTCCATCGACTGATTACAGTTGTCAAAAAATGACTGCTTCATCTTTCTGTCAAGCAAATCGACGGACAATTTCAAATGTCACTTCATTTCCGGACACTCTTTACGCGAAGGTGTTAAGAGAGCATCGGGTTAGTCAACAAAGTGCAGACATCTCGGATTCCGTTCCATTAAAACAAACCGTCTCGCCTGTACCCAATTTTTCCAGTCGCCGAGACGGTGATAAACGTGTGTCACGCGCCAGAGAGAGTTCATCACGGAGAGACTGAGAAAGAATGGGTGTCTCCTCTCTCTCTCTCTCTCTCTCTCTCTCTCTCTCTCTGTATTCCAGGCAGAGAACGTTGACACGATCCCGCAAAACACCATCCGCACCGAAAGCCGCAACGAAGGTATCCTCGATTACCGTTCGCTCGTTTCCGCGTGCGGTGTCCCGTCAGAACGAGGGAAAGCGAGCGAGTCGGTGGCGGTCGGCGATAGTTGTCCGGTCGGAATGAAGCCATTCAGGACACAACGGCGAACAGAAAGAGGGGAATAGAGTGCGGGCGGCGTTGGTTTCGCTCGGATCGCGTATCCGTGGCACCGATGGCTAGATTTCCGGGTGAAAAACGAGCGGCCGCGGCTTTTTTGACTGGTCCGCTGCGTCCGTCTCGACGGTCCCATTTGGGCCCGGCAAGTGTCCGGCAGCGTCCGCCGGCTGCAAAGAACCACGGATGACACGAAGAGCCAGCAATTATCAGGCTCGGTCGCGGACGGGCTCTGAGACGCCGCGGGTCGGGGGATAAAGAGGAAGGGGGGAGGGGGGCAGATATCATCGCGTCCCTCCAGCAGACACCTTAAGGGGCGCATTTTAGCCCCTCTTAGGGACGTCTAGGATTGCAGAAGCCGGGATCCCAGAGGCGCGTATCTAAATCACATCTCGCGGAAAAGTCGGCTACCTCTTTTTCCACGGCGTTTCTTTCTCGCAGACATGTCTCGCCCCACCCCCGCCTTCCCCGCCCGCCCGACTTCTTCTTCTCGGTCTTCTTATTCCGTTTTCTCCATCGTCGCGCGGCATCCGACTTCCTTTTTTGATCCGGACGGGTATAGCGGGGGGACGCGCCGCCGCGAGCAATTTGCGAGGATTCGAACGAAAAAAGCTCGTTCCACGGAGCCTTGGGTGCTCTTTTGCTCGTCAGCCGGGACAGATTCCGGCTCAGAGTTTCTTCCAGCCCCGGCGACGAATTTGATCCCGCCGATAGACGCGGGGATCGCGGCGCCTCGCGACGTCTTCCGACGCGTCGCGACGCCGCTCCCCCGTCAACGACACCGCACCCCCCCTTCTCCTCCGCCCAAGCCGCCGAGTACCGAGCCTCCGGCGCGCCGAGGCTCGATGAACAACCCCGGCGACAGCGTTTTTCCACGTTCACGCGCGAACGACGCGAGAACTTGATTTGTGACAGAGCTGCTTTGCCAGCGGGACCAGCGTCCTTACCCTCTTCGGGGACAGTCTTCTCCCTTCTGGAAACTGCCAAATTAAATGCCGACGGAGATTTATCGGATTCTTCTTGTTCTGATGCGCCAAGCTGTTCCTCGCGGCTCTCGCGTTTGCCAATTTAGTTTTGTACCGATTGATTCGCGTGTAATTAGCTTTCTCGTTAATTCGAATGGGTTAAACGGTGCCAGAGGTTTTTGATAAATAGGGGGTAGAATGGAGTTATCTTCAATTTGATAGGCTTCGAAGTTTGTCGCTTTTTTAGTTCTCTTGCGGTATATTTTCTACGTTTATATTTTTTTAATTACTGGTAATTGCGATTAATTGGCTATTGCTTGAAACTGAGCGATGTGTACATTAAAAATATGACCTTTAAATGACCGTGCTGTTTAGAAATAACATGGTGGTCATAAATGTATATAAATAATATATATTTATATATATTTAATAAAATACTGCAAATATTATATATAAATTGTATATAATTATGTATTAAAATATTATAAATGTTACATATAAATTGCATATAATTTATTAAAATATTTATTATATAAAATATTATAAATAGTATGTATAAATTATATATAATTATATATTAAAAAGTATTATAAATATTATATATAAATTATGTATAATAATATATTAAAAAGTATTATATATATTATATATAATTATATATTAAAAATAGTATTATATAAATACTATATAGAAATTATATATAATTGTATATTAAAATATTATATATATAAGCATAACAAGACATTACTAAATTAAATATATAAATGTGCTGCTGTCATATTCGGATTTTTTTGAAGATGATCTCGCAGCGAAAAATTCTCAGAAAATTTTGAGCGTTGTAGACCATTGGGCAGAAGATTCGTGAATGTTTTCATAATTTTCCGTTCAGTAAAACGGAAGAAATAGAGCATAATCTGTTAATCTGACTTGATTTGGTAACTACCCTCATGGTAGGAGTAACGATTTGACACGTGACTGAGATGGTTTTTCTTGGGTTTTAACGTAGTCGTCAACCTGATCGATCACGCGGATACCCGAAGACGCCTGGTCGAAAGCTGTCAAACAGAAAAGAAACTGGCAAAGTCGGCGGGGACTTGCCACGAACTCGGACAAAATCGCAGAAAATAGCCGGCAAAATTCAGTTACAACGGACGGATAAAAGTTTCCCGTAACTTCGATGCAAACCGCGTTGTTCCCATAAACATCGTCCGACCGAGTCGCATCGATCAACAGCCCGCGGGTCTTCATGGACTTCAGACGCTTCTGACAGGCGCGTACGAACCAGAAGTATAAACCCCGTCGATTTCGTCTTGACCACAAAGAGTATATTGATCCGCAATGGAAATCCTCCTCTTCCTTTGTTCTGTTTTCTCCGGGAACCCGTATGCAAATTCGCGCAAGGATCCGCAGCCGGGCGGTTTCATCGCGCGGCGATTGGGAGTGGCCCTTTGCGTGGCCGATGCATAATTCTCAGCCACCGTGTGTATAGCCAAACGAATTTCCGGATGTAACCGTCGGTCTCTTTGATCGGCGGCAGAACGGCTGCTCGCTCGCGCAAGGAGCATGTCGGCCGTGGGTTGCTAATCGCGATAATCGAATGGGTGCGCCCACAGTGTGTCTCTTCCTCATCATCTCTCTCTTCCGCTCTCCGTCTTTCTCCCTCTCCTTTTCTCTGATTTTCTCTCTCCAAGTCACTCTCCCTATTATTTTCTCTCCCCCCGCCTCTCTCTCTCCATCTGATTTTCCCACGCTATCCGCCTCTCTGATTTTCCCTCTCCATTTCTCTCACTCTCTCTCTAATTTTCTCCCTCCATTTCTTTCTCTCTCTTTCTCTATCTCTCCTTCTCTTCCTCTTTTTCTCTCCATCCCTCTCTCCCCTTCCTTTTCTCTCCCTTTTTCTCCCTTTGTCTATTTCTCTGTCCATCTTCTTCTTTCTTTCTCGCTGTATCTATCTCTCATTCTCCCTCTCTCCCTCTCTCTCTCTCTATCATCATCACCTCGTTCTTTCCCTCTCATTCTCTCAATTTCTCTCTCCATCTCTCCCTCCTTCCATTTCTCTGTCTCCCTCTCCCTCTCCATCTCTCTCGTTTTCTCTCTCTCTCTCTCTCTCTCTCCATCTCTCTCTCTCCTTTCATTTATGTCCTTCATCTCTCTCGTTTTCTCTCTCTCTCTCTTCATCTCTCTCTTTCTCTCCATCTCACTCTATTTGTTTCTCCCTCCATTTCTCCCTCTCTGTTTCTCTCGCCCTCCATTTATCACTTCCCATCTCCCTTTCTCTCCAACTCTTCCTCTTTCTCTCTCTCTCTTCCCCTATTTCTTACTCTCTTTGTACATCTCCCCCTCTCCGCCTTCCTTTCTTCATCTGTTCGTTTCTCTCTCTCTTTCTTTTTATATATCTCTACCTCTCTCTCTGTTCCCATCTCTCTCTTTTTCTTTTTCTCTCTTCCTGTATCCATCTCTCTCTCTCTCTCTCTCTCTCTGTCTCTCTCTCTCCCTCTCTCTCTCTGATTTTCTCTCTCCATCTTCCTCTTTCTCTCTCTCACATTCTCTCCAATTTTCTCTCTCCACCTCTCCTTCTCTCTTTATCTCTCTCTTTCCCTCTCTCTCTGATTTTTTCTCCCCATATCTCTCCCTTTCTCTTTCTCTCTTTCTCTCTCCGTCTCTCTCTCCTTCCATTTCTCTCTCTTTTTCTCTCTTTGTCTCTTCCTCTTTCCATCTTTCTCTTTTTCTCGCTGTATCCATCCCTCCCTTCCTCTCTCTCCCTGCCTCTGTCTATCTTCATCTCTCCCTCGCTCTCTCTCTCTCTCTCCATCACCCTTTCTCTCTCTCTCTCTCTCTCTCTCTGTCTACATCAGTCTCTCTCTCTCTCTCTCTCTCTCTCTCTGTCTCTTCATCACTTTCTGTCTTGCTCTCTCTCTCTCTCTCCTTCCATTTCTCTCTCTCTCTCTCTCTCTCTCTCTCTCTCTCTCTCTCTCTCTGCGTATCATTGGTCTGGTTCGGTATCACACGGTGAAACCGGTCGTTTTGTCGATTCCAGTTGAGGAGCTGGAATGCCTGGCCACCTGGAAGGAGGGCAGCAGCCGCTACCTGGTCGGCCGTTTACATCACGGACACGCGTCCAGTAACGAAGATCGATACCGATGCTTCGTCTACGAGAAGGCCGGCCAGACAGTGCAGGGTAATCTGCACAGAGCTGCCATGGGCATGGGAGCCATGGATCATGATGTCGGGTTACAGAGCGGACCGGCGCCGGAGGGTTCCGCCGAGATATACCGAATGGCGCAGAGCGGAGACGCCACCTGCAACGGCCTGTTCAGCCCGATGGAGGGCTCGAGGACCATGACGCTGATGAAAGGTAACGTACCACGGTGTTTTGAGCGCGTTAACGTACGGCCGATCCTCGGGGCTGCGCTTCTCGCTCGCCGTTGCGCGACCTACTTATTGATTTTGCGTTTCGATCACGGACCTTCAAGAGCTAGGGCTTTGCGCGCCGATTTGTCCATTGTAGATGATAGGCCATTGACCTCGCGAAGACAGTTCACTCTTGGTTCAACTTTGAAGCGCGGGACCGTCGGCTGCTGAAGAGATGACGCTGCCCTCATGACTAGGTCGTTTACTTCGCATAATACCTTTCATTTTTTCAGGTTCCGGGTCGCTATTTGATAAGATAGATCGCTTCACCTGATCGCGATTTCCGTTATAAGCGAAACTTGGCCGGTATTGGCGCAGAAGTTTAGATTTTGGGTGAAGGCCATTCCTTTCAGCAACTAATAGCACGATGCTGTGACTATTTATAAACAAAATTATAAGTGACATTTTCGGCTTTGTTGTATTGTGAACTCCGCGAAATGGTTCACAAAGGGGCTAGGAGATCGATGTATCAGACTGCGGATTTTATGCATTTGTGACCGAAATGAATAAAGCAATTACAAAACCAATGATGTCCTCAGAAGGATTCAAGAACGTTGCTAAATTATTTTCAAACTTTTGGAACTATTAAATGAAGGAACAAGTCATCATTTATCTTACGTTTTATATAATCAAAACAACTGGGGATTATATATATACACAAGAAAATATATTATATTTATATACTGTAACATACATTTATATAATACTAATTGTATTATATATATTAATACAATATTAATACAGGGTGTTCCACAATTATTTTAACAGCCGAAAATGAGGGGTAGCTGAGGTCATTTGAACTCGTAAACAAAGCCGCAGATTGCATTTTCGCAAAGGAAAAAGTTACTTCAAGTGACCTCAGCTATCCCTCATTTTCGGCTGTTAAAATAATTGTGGAATACCCTGTATATTATATATTATAATCATGTACATATTAACATAATATTAACATATTATATATTATAATCATATACATATTAATATAATATTAATATATTATGTATTATAATCATGTACATATTAGTGTAATATTAATATATTATATACTATAATCATATACATATTATATTATAGTATTAATATAATATTAATATATTATATATTATAATTATATACATTAATGTAATATTAATATAATATATATTACATATAAGCAAATTTTGCATAGAAAACCGCAGTCTAGTTATCATCAATAAAAGTTGTCAAATAAAAATTTGATCTTAGTCCATCAGCACCCCACGTGACTATTTTGTATCGAGTGCTCCGTTTTTATCGTCGTCGACCAATAGGCGACTACAAATCGTATCTCCTCTCCCCAAGTTGTCCAGTTTTCGTTTTGAAATCGCGGGACAATGCCAGAGAAATTATCGTAAGAGAGGATGCGTTTGATGCGCTCTCCGCGGCGTGCGTTCGTTGCACCGGGCTGCATCGATTGATGGGAAAAGGCGTCGCGACGCCGAGGACTCGGCGATTAAGGGGAACAAAGTCGCCGCGTAGGAACGAGGTCAGAGGGTTACGGAATGCTGAAGAGGTCCCGGGAGAAATGAGAAGAACGTCCGTCGCAGCTCGCCGCGCCTCGCCGGGGCGAAATCACAGCGTGAAAAATTCACCCTTCTCTGGCAGCGTCATTAACGGGACGCGTCAAAATGGCGGCCCGTTGCGCGAAGGCGGAATATTTACACGCTACTCGACTCCGAGGCCGGTGTACAGCTTCTTTTCTTCTCGTTCCGCTGCATCGGGGCTCCTTGCACCCTCTTTTTTCTCGACGCCCTGCCGCGCCCCGCCGCTCCTCCGGCTGCGGAGTTTACAAGCCCGTGCCCCCTTGCTGCGTACAGTTTCACGGCAAACTTCGTTAACGGATTTCACTTCAACGGATTTTCAGAATCTCTCCCTCGTTTTAAGCCAGTCACCACCTCCGTCCCTCCCCGCGGCTCCAACGGCCGGCTTCTTTCCGCCCTCGCAGCCACGCAACCCTCGCGGCACGTGCAAATTTTTCGTCCCGAAATCTCCTGAACCGAGCCGAATTGGTATAATTGCGTCGATGGCGGTTCGTCCCGTTCAATTGGATGAGTTAAATTGGAAATTACAAAGTGTCCCAAAAATGTCCCAATCCGGAACTAAAGGGTTCTTGAGCTGATTTGAAGCAACTTTGTCCTTAGCGAAAATGTTCTACGAGGTATCGTTTACGAGTTATTAGCGGAAAACACTAACCAATCGGAGAATGAGCGCGGCCGGCCCTCCGCCCATGCGGCCAATATCGCGTCGCGTCGGCTGTCTGACGCAGCGGCAGTGGTCACGTGGGTGGGGCGTCAGCCGTACGCGATCGCTCATTGGTGAGTGTTTTTCGTTAATAACTCGTAAATGAAGCGGCGGATTGCATTTTCGCAAAGGAAAAAGTTGCTTCAAATAATCTGAGGAATTGACCTAAAGTAAAAATTGTGAGGCATTTTTCGGACATTCTGTATTGCATGACAATGTTTGCGATAGGGTTAATATCTCGATCCTTCTCGCAGAGGAGCCGAGGCAACGCGAATAAGTAGCCCGGAAAATGGATTAACATTAAATCTTTTCTCTCTCTCTCTTTTCTCGAGTCGGTTCCCCCCCTCCCTCGCTTTCTCTCACCGTTTCGCTCCGTACCGGGGATCCCCCCGTCCCCGTTCAACGGAAACCGAGCGCCTTTAACTGCATCCCCGTAGCCCGGCTCGAAAGTTTGTTCAATTAGCCCGGACTCTTCTACCGGCAGAGTCAATACCCCGGCAAAATTACTCGACTGCGTTTTCATAACTGCTGGAAACGTGCGGTCGGGCCGGCCCGAGACGGGCCCCGCACGGGAGATGTCTCGGAACGTTTCCGCGGCGCGGCGCGAGACCCTCCTCTCCTCCTCCTCCTCCTCCCGCGATAGGCAATTACCCACCCCCGGGAGCGAGGGTGGGGGCCGTGGGGGGTGGACGTTAATCGAGCGAACGTGCCGCGCGAACTTTCTCGCCGGGGCTCGGATCGAAAAAAGAACCAAACCCTCGACGGGAAAAACGCGTTGCGTCCTTGTGCTACGCGGCTGCGTTGGACTTTGCAACTTGCGCGGTCCGTTGTACATATAGTCGTCATCGATAAAATTTCTTTTCCTTTTTTTATTGCGAAGTTTATTTAGGAGCAATTCCCAATGGGAATTATGGGTAATTCTGCTTACGTTAGTATAATGACATGGAATGCAGGATATATATTTTATTTATTATTTATATATATGGACATATCTATTTTATTTATTATTTAGATATATATGGACATATATATTTTATTTATTATTTAAATATATATAGACATATCTATTTTATTTATTATTTAAATATATATAGACATATCTATTTTATTTATTATTTAGATATATATGGACATATATATTTTATTTATTATTTAGACATATATGGACATATCTATTTTATTTATTATTTAGATATATATGGACATATCTATTTTATTTATTATTTATATATATGTTTTTTATTTATTATTTATATAAATGTACATATATTTCATTTATTATATTTATATGTATTTATATATATTTATTTATATACATTTATATATAAATGAATAAAAATAGTATATATAAATAAATAAGTGAGAAACAAAAAGGAAGAGACGATCGGAATCGTCAATGACCGGTGCAAAGCCGTCGCGTCGGTGAAGTAGTCGGGTCTCCGTGAATATTAGAAATCAATCGCGACACACCGTGGCTAGGTCTCTCCTCTCCGACGGCGCGGCTCTCGGAACAGCGTCGTTCGCAGCGATCCGATCACAGGCAGAGTTACAAATTCAACTTTCCGTCAGATTTTATCGGTATCGTTAAAATGCAGATTGGCAATACGCGCCGGGGAACGGGAAAAATAACGCGGGACGAGAGAAACGGGGTGAGGGGGTGGCAAAGGGGTGGACTCTCGAGCAGCAGGAGGAAGCTACGCGGGAAATAGGAGAGGGAGAGAGAGAGAGAGAGAGAGAAAGAGAAAGAAAGAAAAACGTGCGAAACAACGAGGGAGAAAAGGAAGAGAGAAACGGAGAGGGAGGGAGAGAGGAATAGTGAAGAGAAATAGAAACAGAAAGAGAGAGAGGGGTAGAGAGGAGGCAATAGACAGAGAGAGAAAGAGGGAGAGAGAGGGGGATAATAGAGAAATATATAGAGAGAGGAAATAGAGAGGGAGAGGGAGAGAGAGAGAGGAAACAGAGAGGGATAGGGAGAGAGGGAGGAAATAGACAGACAGAAAGAGAGAGAAAGAGAGAGGGGGGTGAGAGGAAATAGAGAAATAGACAGAGAGAGAGAGAAGAATAGTGAAGGAGAAAAATAGAAAACAGAGAGAAATAGAAAGACAGAGTGAGAGGGAGAGAGGGAAATAGAGAAATGAACACAGAGCGAGAAGAATAGTGAAATAGAAGCATAGAAAAACAGACAGAAAGAGAGAAAGAGAAAGAAGAATACTGAAGAAGAAAAATAGAGAAATAGAGAAGACTAGAGGCAGAGAAATATAGGGGGTGAGTGTATTGAAATTATTAAGTTATGTGTAGAATAATTTTAGTACAACTAACAATCTTTTCAAAATTGTATCCCTTATTATTAAGAAAGATATATCAACAAGATATACCTAACTAACTAATTAATTGTTCGAAGACAAACACACTCATTGCTGATCTGTCGATCAAATATATCACCTGTTCGTTGAACCCATGATTATACTAATCATAAGCGAAAGTATATGTTGCAACATAATGGAATATCGAGACTGATTTTTGCATGCAGCCTACATTTTAAGAAATTGGAAATAGAGTGACGTAAAGAAAGGAAAATATAGAGAGTGAGATAAAAGGGGTGGAGAATAGGGAGTTAGAACGAAATAGAGAGGGAGAGTGGAAAATATATACATATAGAGAGAGGAGGATTTGAGAGGGAGAAAA